AGTCAGCAGGGGGCGCCGTCGCGTCACTGGAGATGTAAAAACTTGCAATGTCTTATACCGTTCACCAGGTGGCGCTGTTGAGTTATCAAAAGTGCAGAGCTTGTAATGTTCTATAGTAGTCACCAGGTGGCGCTGTTGGATCACTAGAGGAGTGGAACTTGCAATGTCCAGCGCTCGTCACCGGGCGGCACTGTGGGATCCCTGGTCTCCGCCGGGTGGCAAGGGAGGAGGGGGGAGGGGGAAGGGAAACAGAAAGTTCTCCCAATGGAAGAAAAAAAACTCACGACTCGGTGGAGGTCCCGCGGTGGAAAAGAACCAAGACTGCAACCAGCCCGTAACTCTGCAGAGAGCTCCCACAGGGAAAAAAGAAACAAAGGAGAAACCAGGCAGCCTCTCCTCCCGGCTGCAGCCTCCCCTCCTGCTCCCGAGCTGAGCTCCCAACCACTCCGCCTTCTTCCCAACTCCTCCCCCGTCGTTGCCAGGAGACTAATTCTCGGTCGTTAGGAGCCAGGCCGACTCTTTTGTTCACTTGATGGTTCTTGAATAGCATTCATGCAGGGGGGAGGGGGAAGAAGGGGAAAGGAAAAGCAAAATTCCTTTCTAAAATCAGAACTATGACACTAACTAAACTGTTGCTTGGTGTGAACAGGATACATATATATATAACTTCTAGAGCATCTTTTTCAGCTATTCTTTTTTTTTGTAACTTAAGTAAATGACAGCTGAATGAACACTGGGGAAGAAAGGCAAAAATAAGGGTGCAGATAAATGAGATAGAAGAAGTAAGCTGAAAATACAAGATAAACATGAATATGATCAGGGGTATATGTTCTGGCACAAGCAGTGCCATCTTTGAGAGAAGGAGTTCTTCCTTTTTTTAACTGATGTTCTGTGGAATATTTTTGTGAACACAAATGCTAGATAGTGGAAAGTGAAAATCCTGAACAAGAGGGGAAAAAAACCAAAGTAAGGCTAATATTTGTGAAGTGCTTAAATGTATTCAGGGTGCCTCTTCATCTTCAAGGGTGCATTGGGATAAACAAAGACTCTGGGTTTTAAAGTCTGTCTTATTCAGTCTTTCCCTCAGGGTTTGTGTTTGTTTCTCCTTGATAAATTGTGGTTAGCTGTATTGGTAGTTCTGAGTTGGATTTTACCGCTAGATTGTAATGCTTTTGACTTTATTCCATTTGACATTAAATCAATCTATGTTCTTTACCAGAAATTTGGAAAGTATTTGAAAATTCCTTAGTGTTACACATACAAGGTTTCCCAAGACCTTTGTGCTGAGAAGCAGAGTGTTAGTTCTTTGGTATTCTAGAATTTTCAGAACAGTAATCAATCTAGATCCTTAAAAAAGCTCTAGTTAGGGAGAATGAGATGAGATTTATGAAAGTTTGGCGTAGCACTATATGTAAAGTTATGAATATTGAGAGATATTCAAGTGGAATCAAGTACCAAGAAAAACAAGTATTAAAAGCATAGAAGGCTAGATAAAAGACGTGCAATAAAACTACCAGAGTTAATTATCTGGTTTTGCTTGCTTTAGTGGTGCTCTGCTAATAATACTGTGTTACACTGCAGACGATATTTTACACTCTTCCCCGCCTTGCGGAACTTGCTGAAGATGAATGGATCCCACTCTCTAAATTTGACAGATTCACTGACATTCCCTTGCTACCAGCATTTCAGTGGTATCATTCTCGAACGGAACTTCGTGATCTGAAACCAAGTGACTGGTCTCAGCAAGACATGGGTAAAATATAGCTAATCTATATTAAGTATTTGTATGTAACAGTATGTACATCTATAATCAATCTGATCTCTGTTTATGAGAGTCCTCTACTTTCTGCAGTATTACCATTTAGATTATCTTCTTTACCAAAGCACCAGTTTCAATTCTTCTTGCATATCCACATAAATAAAACAACTTGTTTTTATAGGTTCACATTCAGCTGAAACAGATAGCCAGACAGAATGGACTGATGTTCAGAAAAAAATTATACCCTGGAAAAACAGTACTCCTAGTTTAGACTTGGAAATGGCATTTCAGGATCGTGCTGCTAAACTCGGTAAATCAAACAGCAGATTGATCGTGGTGGCTTCACTTATTGATAAACCTACCAATTTAGGAGGTAAGGTTGATTTCAAATTTTTAAACTTTTATTTTACACCTTAAAGCCCACTTAGATAATAGAAGTTAATTTTATTTTATGTTGTTAATTAGAAAATTTTGTAAGTACTGCCCAGAAAAATAGATCATTATCCTGAAAAAAAATGGTAATAGATCATTATCCTGAAAAAAGAAATACCGCCTTCTTCAGAGTAGGGGTCTCTCATAGTCACATTTTAAGGCAAAAAAAGAAGTATCTACACATAGCATGCATTAATTAAATGGAACTTTGCTGTAAATCATGCTCAGTTTCTTTCTGAATTTATATTCTTCGTTACAGTTGAGTTTTTCAACTGTGTATGTGGTGAAAAGAAATGCATTTTTCTTCTTAACGAGTAAAACAAATCTTGTAGACCTACTAGATTCTCATGACTGTTGGTCATTAAAGTCCCCTTTCCTGATTAAGAACGCCTTCACTATGTCATATCAGCTGTGATATAATAAATCCAGCAACTACTTTACTGTCATTGTGTTTGATGTTGTTAGTTGAAATAGCTGCAGTGAGGCTGTTCATGAAAAGTCAGCCCACAAGCTGGTGCTGTCTGCATTCTAATGCTGTCATGTGTCATCCTCTCAAGCCTTTCATATAACAAATACCGAATTTAAAACTTAAGCTTGTGTGTATATTGTGTCAAACCGTCCATTCTTGCTAAGGCTTGGACAATAGCCCCTTACTTTGTGTAATTAATATTGTAAAAGCACATTGTCAGACATAGTGGTTTTCTAACTTTTATCTTTCTGCTAAGTTACAAAACATTTTTTTTTGCTGCTTTTTTATATGGAACAAGGCGTGGCTTGGAACAGACCTGAAACATATAAAAATAGATGACATTGCACTTTTGCATTCTTTGTCATTTTCACTTACTAATACATTCTGGCTTGGTGTTTACTTTCTACACAAAAATTACTTTATGTCTTGTTTTTGTAGGTTTATGTCGTACAAGTGAAATATTTGGGGCATCTGCATTAGTTGTCGGCAGTCTTCATTATATACAGGATAAGCAGTTCCAGCATCTTAGTGTTTCTGCAGAGCAGTGGCTCCCCCTGGTTGAGGTGAATGGAAACATTTTGATCGTTGAAAAGTGTACTGAGCATCTTCGCTTGTCAGATGTATAGTGCAGAGTCTAACATTTTATCTTGCAAAAATGAACTTTTTATTTAACGGAAGCACCCATTGTTATCTCTGACACTTAATCTTGAGCGTTTTGGTATAAGCTGTGGGTCAACCTCATAAAAAAAAAAAGAATTTAAAAAATACTTTCAATTTCTTATTGCTGTGGAAAACTGATTATGTGAGCTGTCATTGTTACATCCTATTCTGTTTTACAGTGGTGTCTTGGAATTTAATGTTTATTTATAAAAGTTGAACAATACTTCATTTGTTTTGCTTTGTCCATTGCTTCTGGTAACCTCACAGTGATTGTCTGAGTTTGCCTGAAGTTAACTTGTGCCAACTTTTAGAACTATTATCTAGTTTATCAGTTTTTCCAGGTCAGCTCTAAGTCATCTGAAACACTCAGTGAAAAATTTTGATTTTTTTTTTTTCCTCCATGGTGTTTATTTTCAGAACAAGGTAGCCCTAGTGTGTTTTGCCTAAAACAGAGTGCTGATGGACACAGGTTGTCGTGCTGATATCTGTACAGAAGTGTACTGATGGTACAGCTGCTGTTGCATGAAGAAATTGGCATTTTCATACAAATAAGCAATTTAGAGAGTAGGATATAGATAACTAAGAAATTTTTCACTTCCCAAGTTGCAGTTCAGGCATATAAGGCAACTCAGTGCTGGCTGTTCTGTTGTGTTGAGAAGGAATTTCAGGTTAAATAACAATTGTGCGCCTTGTCCCTATGCAAGAGTTATTCTTTTACATTCAGATACAAGGTTTGTAGCTGTCAGAAGCCTAGAAAAGCCTTTCTTCATTGTATTGGTGGGGTACATTTTTGTGGCATTACTGACCTTTTATGTTATTGCTGAAGAGCTTATAATATGTTGTGTATATGGATGGAGTCTTCGGGGATAAAAGTCAATCTTAAAAACTGTCCAAGTAAATTATTTTTCACAGTAACTTCAGAAGTTTACAGAAGGCAGTATTTAAATATTTTTGTATTTCTCTCTACTTTTGATAGGTGAAACCGTGTCAGCTTGTTGATTATTTACAGCAGAAGAAAACAGAGGGCTACACTATTATTGGTGTGGAGCAGACAGCTAAAAGTTATGATCTTACAGAATATTGCTTCCCAGAGAAGTCACTATTATTGCTGGGGTAAGAACACGTTTTTTTTGTAAATCTACCTCTTGCAGTCCATCCCTTCCTCTAGTCAAGAGTTTGGTCATGTGAAAATCAAGTGACAGTGGTAAAGGTGATTTTTAGAATGGGAAGTGATTATGAAAAGAGTAGAGCTTGGCTTTATGTGCTAAGGAGTAGGAGGTATTGATACCTACTCCTGAACTATCCTTCTCCTCATACCTAATAACCTGTTCATACATTGTAACTCCTTTTTATTATGGGTGAACGTAGCAACAGCATGGATTGTATTTTTCCAGGTGTGCCAGAGAGATCGTTTGTTCAGTTTAGTTATACGGGGCCCTGTATGTGTAGGCTGTGGTGAGCTCAGCAAGGAGTTAAGCCTGTTTGCTCTGCTTAATGTGGTGAGGAGGGCTGGAGCAGAGAGTGTGCATAGCTGGGAGATGCTTTAAAACTCATAGATTGAGCACCAGATAAAGTTTTTGCAGTACAAGCAGAGGATGGGACAACAAGCAAACTGTTTCTCTAAGCAGACAAATGTCAGATGTGATATAAAGGGGAGGCTACTTAAAGAAATCCACAGTAAAGCAGCTACAAGTCAGAAAGCTACTGGCATTGCAGGGCTACTGAGTGAGACCAGGGGGAAGGGCCTGCCTATCCTTTTAGGACAAAGTGAGCAGAAATACCTTTTCTCCAACTTTTTTTATGTGTAGCTTGTCTTTAAAATGTGGTTCTCATAGTCACTTTGTTCTCTTTTAATTAACAACATAGTTTTAATTACTGGTAACCTCTGGTATCTTCTGGCGTGCTCAGTTCTGAAAAGGTAAAACTTCCAGTTCAAGGCTTCAAATGAGTTCTGACATTCCTTCATGCCAAATGTAAAGTGAGCAGCTGAGCTTCCTTGCTGTGCCAGCAGCTTCATGCCCTGGTCATTTCATCTATAGCTGGTCATTTTGCTGTATATGGCGTTTAAAAATAAGAGCAGAGAGTCTTTATGTTGGGTGTTCAGCTATTGCTGGACCAGTGAACTGAAAACTGAGTGTACCACCAATTTTCCTACATCAAAGCTTAGTCAGGCCTCCCCATGTTTTCTTCGCATTCGTAACATATTACTGTTTCTAAAAAAATCCTTTGTTGTCATCAGTTACACTTGTAGGCAGATGCACCGTATTTGTCAAAGGGCATTTGGATGCTGCTGTGACATTTGTATTTTCTGCCTTTTGGAACATTTGTCCTTTCTCAGATAAAAGTTACTGTTTCTTCTTTACTAGAAATGAACATGAAGGAATCCCAGCAAACCTGATTCACCATCTGGATGTCTGTGTGGAAATTCCTCAGCAGGGTATTATTCGATCACTCAATGTTCATGTAAGTGGAGCTCTGCTGATCTGGGAGTACACAAGGCAACAAGTGATCAAGCAAAAACAACAAAAATAACTGCCAAGAATCTCGTGCCTTATAGTACAGCTGGGTGGCTTCCCATGGTGCTACGACATGAAATTCAGAATAGATGAGATACAAACTCAGGGTGAATGAGGATTCTTAACTTTTGCATGTTTTGTTCTCTGTAGTTTTCAGGGTGACTTTTAAATGCCTTAATACTTTACCTCCTTAAATTGTTGCATTGGAAATAAATACTATTTATATTGCATGTGGGGGGTGTGTGTGTGTTATTTCTACAGTTAGAACATCAGCACAGTACTGTGAACAATCCCACACTCAAACCCACAGGATTTTTACTGCAGTTGCTTCAGTTGTTGTGACTATGCTTTAAATGGAAGTGGTGCCTTTAGCCAAAGTATTTAATGATTCCAGCATCTAGATCTGCTAGATTATGTAATTTTTGGAAGGTAACTTCACTTACATAATTACATTAAATGGTGCCCCTTGTTTAAATGCCTTCCACAGTCAAGTTTATTAATCCTGCTGTAAACTCTCTGTATCTTTAAATGAAGCTGCATCAGTAAGGTAATTAAATTATACAAAAGACCATAATATGAGAATCATGATAAATAAACCGACATACTTCTAGCAGAGATACTGATTGAAAACTTACAACTAATGTAAAAATCCCTATTGCTTACAAAAAGCAAGCATACTCAAAATAGGTAGATTATGTATCATATACACAGGATGCATTAGGTCTTCTAATGGCCACTTATATAAACCAATGTCTGGCTTAAAATGTATTTTAAAATACTTTGAAATATTTGGTAAATGACCAATACAAACTGTGTTATACCACCACCTCCTCTGACAAGAAGTGAAAGTTGGAATGGACTTATCTTTTTACGGAAAACTCAGCTCACTTACTGAAAAAGAATTTTATTTTCTCTTTAGAATATATACATTGCAGTATTAAACAATTATTTATTCGTGTGAAAGAATTTTAGTAATTATACATTCAAACCCTTAGATTTGTGAACAACCCTGCACCATAAGCTGTACACAACCATCTTTCAGCAGACATCTGAGACCTGGCAACAAGAACAGCAGTCTGCATTTCAGGGAGACAGTCAGGTTACCAGTTCTTGCACTCAGGCAGCTCCTGTTGCTTTCTCTTGCTGCTTCTTTCTGTAGTTATTTATTATGAAAGCAGAGTACCTAAGACTTCCCAGCAGCTTCTGGAGGAACATACCCTTCTGTTTCAAGCTTTTTTTTGTATTTTAAGAAGTCTCTTCTTTTGTCAAAATGTTTAACCTGTTTAAAATAGAAAAGATGTTCATCAGAAGAAACTAGCAGAGGAAAGGGTTTTATATATCACAAGACTATGGAATTATCAGTGAACTTGATGATTTTACTACACTATTTAGGGGATTCTTCCTCTGTTGAAATTAAAGACTAAAGGATAGTGTGTTTGATTTGTTTTGTGGGGGCTTTTTTCCCTTTTGGAAGTTCACCATCCTCTTTACGATCAGCCTCTTGCTTTGCTCTTTTCACTGCTATCACCAAAGATTATTTGTGATGCAAAGATAAATCCAGCAGCTTTTCTGTGGCAGTGCAGACCACGTAACCTCTGAATTCGTTGCCTAGAGCTACTCCTGTGCATGGTGCAAAGCACTGCTGATGAGACCACAATCACTAGAGATGACGTACAGCAGAACTGCAGTGTCTGAAGTACAAGCCAGTGCAGCAACTGTGAAGGTACTTGGATTTTTTAACTGACTTCAGTCTACTAGCTGCAACAGGAACTGTTCAGCCCCTCAGACACTACTGTTACTAAAGGGCCAGGCCTATTAAAAAATGGTTATAACTCGAGCTAAGTAAACTAAAAAGCACAACATGAGTGAGTTACATGTAGGCAGGTGGCTGACTGTGACATCACGCTGCATGAAAAAGGGTATTTCTATGCACAAGAAGGTATCGGATGCCAGTCTTAAGATGCCACACAACTGCAGGCCCTGCACATCAGCTCCCTTCCGGACTAGCCTCTCTTCTTTACTAACAATAATTTACGGGCACTTTCAAAAGCTTTCAAGTATGTGTATTTATCGAAAGTTTGAGACCTTATTTTCCTTTCCCTTTGTACTATATACTTGCTTCTCACAGTTCCCGGGCCAGTCAGCGGTCCATTCGGGAGCTTTCATTTCCCAACAAGGCAAACCAAGTTAACCCCCGGCAAAGGTGCGGGCTTATCCATGGGAAAGCTCCTCGAGGCCGGAGCTGCCATCCTTAACAAGGCAGCTGTGCCTACGCGTCGCTGCTCTTACAGACGGGCGAGGACACGCTCAGCTCGTCCAGCCTCAGGCGGTGCTCACCCACTGCTGCGGGCAGCGCGACTCGAAGGCCCGGCGCAGCTTCTCGCACTTGGCGGCGTCATCCCCGTGGCTGTCCAGGCACTGCCAGAACTCGTCCCGGGCGCCCCAGCACGCCGTCCTCTCCTCCCTCGTCGGCGCCGCCATCCCCGCCGCCCACCTGGACACAACACAGGGCGGGTGTCCCGGCACGCCTCGCCGCTCCCATGGCGGGGCCCCGCCGCCGCCCCGCCCGCGGCCCCGAGGCAGCGGGGGAAGCGGTGCCGCCGCCGCCGCCCGAGGGAAAGACCCGCGGCCGCCCCGCACCCACTCACTCACCCACTCACCCACCCGCGAAGGTCACGCTCCGGAAGCGGTCCCGGCCCTTCCCCCCGGAGCGACGGGCGGGCGGGCCCCGTGTCCCGGTGTCCCGCCCTACTGGGCGGGGCGAAAACCAGTTTGCCGGCGTTTGCCTCGCCCTTCGCTCTGCAGTGGCTGTCTTGTCCCAGGCCTGGCGGGGCGGCTGTGATATTCGGAAATGTCACTTTCATGGAGCGCTTTTCTGTGCTTAATTTCGTTCCGGTATTATCCTGTGTTCTCTAGCACACAATAAACAACTATTTTTTTTCTCTAATGAATTCTGTGCAGTGCCTTAGTGGATAATTTGTTCAAAGACATGAAGTGTCCCTTCTTTCCTTCTGAGACATAAGAAAGCCGGTTGGATAATATCGTTGTGTAAAATGTTGGGGGCCAGGACCGGTTTACATTTGGTGCTTATAAAGCCCTAGAAGTTGGAACTCAAGTAAACAGTAATGCTGAGCAATGATGCGCAGTCTGAACTATTTCAGGTTTGTTAATTCGGTGAATTAGGAAAAAAAAAAATCTGAGTGCACTTACAGCACTGTAAATTTGTTGGTTTAAATAGCAAAACAGTTAGGTAGTGACTGGATGGAAGGCTGATAATGGTAGCACGTACACATCATGGATTTTTGACCGTTTTCCTTACAGCATGATTCCCTCCTGAGAGGTGGTCTATTGATTTCATTCAGTACACTTCTTACACAAATTACTCTGGAAAGATTTCTTGGGATGGACTCAGTCGTTGAGTCAAGATGATAATAACAAAAACTAGTTTACCCCAGAGGAAGAAACATGTACCTGTAGTCAAGGTGGTAAAACAACAGCAGAAGCCTGGGGGCGGCCAGGTGGGCACCTCGTGGGCTCAGCCCAGCAGCAGCCTCAGGCCCAAAGCCTACAGTGGTGGCATAGAGCATCTGGGAGCAAACTGTTTTGGTATTTCATCTGGGATTTGATGGCATTTCCCTGTGGCATCCCCTGTAAGCCAAAAAATTGGTAGTTTCCTTTTATGCATTAGCCACCTGGAAATGTTGGAGCAGTTTTGAAAGCCATGGTGTGTGTTCCTATAGTAATGCCCTGCAGTTTTGGGAAGGGTGATATTTTGGCAGCTGGGAAGAGCCTGACTCTGGGAGTTGCTGAGCCCCTGGCAGCTCCCAGACCCCCTGGCAGCTTTACAGGGAGTTTTTCCTGTCAGGTCCATGACCATCCGGCAGCTTTATTGGTAGTTTGCCGATAGCCGATGCTCCATCTGGTGTGTGAGGCAGCCCATTCGAGGAGTGGGTGTAGCTGTCGACCTTCCTTAAGCTGCGTTTCTTCCTCAGCATGTGATCATGGTACTGGCTGCTGGTGGAGGGCATCCTTTCCTGGTTCTCCTTGCAAGTGTCTCGCTCCTTGTGACATATAAAAGCTATTTTAAGAGAAGGCCAATGATTTTCACTTCTTCAGCAGAGCCCTCTGTAAACCAGCCAGATCTGAAGTGGATTTTGTTGTCAAAATTCCTAACCAACCATTTAGAAGAGATACTTTTTTGGAGAAATGTTAATGTTGCTGGTGCTGTACATTTTATGATATATAACACTGTTCATGCTGTCTTCCCTGCCTATTGGCTTAATCATGTCCTGTTTGCTACACTGTGGTAGGTAAGAGATGCAAGAGATGCAGTCATTTAATTTCTAATAGAACAAGGCTTTTAAGGTGACTGGAAGTTACTGCACAAATAGAATTTTGGTTATGTTTTTATGTTGAAAAGAATTAACATTGAAGTAAATCTATATTACAGCTTACTTAGGAACTTAGGACCCTTTTGCACTCAGGATTTTGTGAAGCAATCTTTCACAGGCATGAATATTGAAAAGAAAATTAATATTAAGTCTCAAGACTGAATAGTGATAATGGAATACGATAATAGGAAATGTCAGTTGTATTTTGGATTTCAAAATTTATGGTGCGTGTAAAGTTGTTTAGTTACTGCATTCACAAAACAAAAGGGATAATGTAATTATACATAATTAATCACAAAACCCAAATAGCACATCTGGGATATTTGTGATAAATAGTTTATTCTTTAGTGACCTGTGGCCCGAGAAGTACTCACTGGAGACAATTGTAAGTAACTCTGTGTAATGGATATTATGGAAATGTAGTGATCTGGTTTTAGAAAGTGCATGAATAGAAAAATACACAGATTTATCTAATACATTTTTAATGGCAATATTTCCATCTGGTGAAATAAAGCTATCATAAGGAGATAGGGGTGTTTTGTTGTTAGTTAGCCAGTTCTAAGTATTTATCTTTAGTCTTTTACTTTTGGTAAATGAGCCCAGGAAGTAATGAGTGGGATATTTATCATAACTAGGCAGAGGCTAATGTTCTAGAAAGAAGGGAGACTGAAAAAATTCCAGATTTGCTAGGTGTGTTAGTTGCCACAGTTGAAGC